CTGGGTATGTTGAGGAATACTAAAACGCTTTTTGAGGGGAAAAATGTCTTTCATTCAATGACTTATTAAACTGTCCTCATAATATCAAACAAAACATTACGTATTGACTTGCTCTCAGCATTCTGCAAATCAAAAGTGAACTGCTAACAAAGTTGCTGCTTTTAATAAACGATTGTGGCATTACAATTTCGAAAAAGAGAGGATCTTAAGCGGATTTATTTTTCGTCCATGAAACTAAAAAACAAAAACACAAATACCGGAAACAGCAATGCATGTACATGCGAAAGCAAANAACTTTAGTTGTAAAATTTTACTGCTATTATTATGAATATATTTTGACCGTGTATACTTAATTTAGTTTAAAGTGCAATATATGTCCACGACAAAACGAATTTTTAGTTTGATATACATACATACATACATAGGTATATGAAAAGTTTTCAATAATAATTTTATTTTTAAATTAGTTACTCTAATATGAAAAAAAAAATAACTGCCAAATTCTGTATTGCGTTATTATTTTAACGAAAGTATAAAATAAGTTTTTGGCATCGTTAACTGGAAATTATTTTAGCGCAAAAACAGTACTATAATTTCTTAGGCCTAGTAAGACAGTATACAAAACTAACGCATATTTACGATAAGCGAAAGTTGATGCACAAATTATGACTTTATAGATAAATTTTGTCTATAAGAAGTTTTAAGTTGAGTTAAGTGTATAATATATAATATTATTTTCAATATTGTATATTAACCACACATACATAAAAAAATGTTTATTTAGCTACAATAGCCTTTTAATTTTTATTTATAAAATGCCCATATTTTACGCAAAAGACGTCCGTATATTTGTATTTTTAAAATTTCTCTTTAAATGTTTAATGATTTTACATACGTATGTATGTATATTTGCAATTTATTTGTATTCCTTAAACAAGTGTCGACTTGTAAAAAGCAAACAATCTTGTTACCTTATGTTGTTAAGTATTGTACTTACACACTTATTAAAAACTGTCACACGAAATTAAAGCAAAAATCGCTGCAACATATCTTTAAGCTTACCAGTAAAAGGTAACTATTTAACTTTGTTTTTAAGGAGAGGAACTTCGATAAACATATGGCTGGTGATTTTCCATTCATGCAAAAATGTAAGACATTCCTCGTAGCAGTTTTAAGAAAGTAAAAAACTCGAACTCGGTATTATTTCAAAATGCAATTACAGTGGTGGGCAAATAAAAGGAGACGCGACTTTTTAACAAGTTTTGTATACTTTTCTTTTGCTTATTTTGTTTATTTGGCTTATTGTTTATTTATGAAAGTATAGCTCAGTATCTAACAAAAATTATTTAAGTCCGAATTTAAAACTTTGTTAAAAAAACTAGGAAAATTCTACAAAATGTCATCGAAATTTCAAATTTTATAATCGGGATTCTTAGAAAAAAAGTTTGGTATGCAGTTTTGTAGCCCATTAAATTTTAATATGCACACAAAGTATGTTTGAAAAATATTTTATGAAGGAAAATGCAGAACACGGCCTGCAGCAGATATTGCCAAAAATATACGGTAAATCCTAGCTGCGCTTTATTAAACCAAAATTTTAAGAGCTACAAAACGGTATCATCGCCAGAAATTTTTAAACTTTCTAAATAAACATTTTGAAATTTCCCGTTAAATTTACTAAAATTCCTTGAATTTTTATAAATCTTTATAAAAAAAAAATTAAATAAACAAATGAAAAATAGCCAAAACTTTTTAAAATGTCGCGTCTCTGCTCGTTTGCCCACCACTGTATATCATTTTTATTAGTAATTTCAAATTTCAAAAACTAAATTATAATTTTTCGTAAATTTTGTATAGTATTTCAACGTTTAATATTTGTTTCGTATTTGTATTTTTTTTTTTATACACCTAAGTGTTTTTTTAGTCGTCCAAAACTCACGATAATTGTTTAGTCATCTACAAATTCAATCAATGAAAATGCCAAATTAACTCTCTTGTGACTACATATTCCGTAACAATAAATTATCCCACAGTTCTTAAATGGAAACCCACTACATTTACACAGTTGTAAGCATTTGCCGTATTTAAGAAATACATAACCAGATATCTTAGAAAGAAATACAATACAGAAATAAAATAAAGTGTAATGCGAAATAACTTATCAACTAAAATAACCAAAATTGAAGTGGATTAATACAAGAAAAAAAAAAAACAACCGCTAAGACATTTTTCCTTATTGTAAAATGTTTTTAGCCAACGATTTTAAACGATATTATATTATCCATAAAAGCTACGAAGCAAACAGGCATACATGCGCATATATTACATCCATGTATGTAGTAATGTATGTAAATATGTAGTACATATTAAACACACAGAAAATAAAAAAAGATATCATTTGTGTAATGGCAACAACAAAATTGCATACGAAATTATTCAAATTAAGGCACACAAGCCAAAGGTCAAATTGTGTTATTGCAGAAAATTAGAAAAATATTCAACAAATATGTACGTATGTATGCATGCGCGTTAACTGAATTGTACTTTGAAGAACTACATACATAAAAATTATGGACAAATTAAAAAATTGCGAATAAAAATCCTTTCAATCAAAATTACAAACACGTGTTTTTATTTAAGTAAACAAATTCCCGCTTCGCAATCAGGCGTACGGAAATATTTTGTTTCTTATCACGTCATGGCGGCTGTTCGGTGTCCAAACTTTTGTCATTCTTTGTATTGGCTGTTGCAATAAATAAATATAACATCCCGAAAATGGAGTCATGGTTAAGCAAAAAATATCAAACACTTTTTTTTCATTATTCAAGATGTAGATGACAATTGCATAAAAAAATAGTCTTAACTAAACCCCCTTTTTAAATCCTTTCATTTGATGTCCATATTGCCGCAATTTCAAAATTGTTTAATAATAAAATTTTAATTTAACCACAAAAATTTTTCTGAGTGTACTCGACGACCGCCGGTCCGGTTGCTAAAATTTCCAATTTCCACCAGGCGCCCATAACCGTAGAGCAGGTGGCACCCGCAAAAATTTTGAAATTTTCTACCAAAATTTTTCTCAGTGTACGCAGTGACGCAATCGCAAAGCGGGAAGCTGCCTCAATTTTTTTTTTTTAATTTTGTACTAAAACTTTTCTTAGTGTGCCCGACGACCGCCGTTCCGGTTTCCACCAGGCGCCCCTAATCGTACAGCAGGCGGCTCCGGCAAAAACTTTTAAATTTTCAACTAAAATTTTCTCAGTGTACTCGACGACCCTATGTCCGGTTGCTAAAATTCCAGATTTCCACTAGACGCCCATAATCGCAGAGCAAATTTTAAATTTTTAAAATTAAATTTTCCATTAACATTTTTCTCAGTGTACTCCACGACCACCGACCCGAGCGCTAAAATTTCTAATTTCCACTAGGCGCCCATAATGGTAGAGCAGCGGCTCCCGCTAAAAATTTTAATTTAACCACAAAAATTTTTCTCAGTGTACTCGACGACCGCCGGTCCGGTTGCTAAAATTTCGAATTTCCACCAGGCGCCCATAACCGTAGAGCAGGTGGCTCCCGCAGAAATTTTTTCTGGCCGGAAGCTAAAATTCATTGCATACTTTTAGGCGCCGGATGTGGAACGTGAATTTGGCAGGAAGTATGCGCTTTTAGGTTAGAATTCACCTATTTTACTACAATTTGAGCAATTCCGAATTTTCTTGAATTAAATCATAGAAACATGTTTTTGACAGGATTTTAAATAACAAAATAGACACAACTAAAGACATTTTTCATAATGAAATACATATTTTATTTATTGTTTCTTTTTACCCTTATCATGGAAATTTCATTTGTTTTTATACAAACATATTTCTCCATTCGGCTCCTGGACCTTTTTATGAGAAACCAACTACTTTTAAACGAAAATTAATATATTTGAGAGTAGGATAATACACAATTCATACAAATGTATGTTTTTTTTTAATTCCGGTGTACTTTTTATGTAAGCTGATTGCTGAAAAGTAAAAAATATTTTCAAATTTTTGTTGACCCATATTTTACCAGTTTTCTTCGTTTCTACGAGAAGCTGTTTTTCATGGCAGAAATATCCTTCGAGGTTTGCCATTGCCTGCAGAGGGGCGACCTAAGAAAAAACACTAACATATGAGTAAGCGCCAATCTATTATTATTATTATTATTATTATGTATGTTATTGCATATCTTCGGAAAGGTAGTGTCTCACAGGTGGTCCCATACTAATTTCGTTTAGATCCGATAATTGGACCATAAAAAATAACGGTACTCCTAAATTTTTATATGAGAATTGAAGTCGATTGTGTTTTTTGCTTAAAAATTACTAGTTCCGTAATAAAAACTGTGACACTGATACGGAATAGAGCCGTAAAATTGTATGGGCTATAAAACTGCATACCCAAATATACAATTTTTTTGCGAAAATTTGTTGAATTTCGCTTAATTTTGTTTAAACTATGATTTATATGGATTTGGTTAAGGCTTAGACAATATTTTTATATAAAAATAACAAAAACAAAAAATCAACTCGAAAAACATTATGAATGTTTAAATATTAAAAAAAAATCAACAGATGGTCACTTCTTTAAGTCACTGTATGCATGTATTGCTTACAATAAAACAATAACAATTGTGCGTATTAGTACATCTAAATAGTTTTTATTTATCAATAATATTATACTGTTTAGTATTCGTTATACGTACATACATATTTAGCTTTTGTAATATAGATTATACTACAATTGATTAGATGAAATCTCGTTGCTTTGTTTTACGTATTCATTCATATATATGCATGTGTATACATATGTATGTATATATTTATGTGATTATATACACATAGGCTCTTAATTGTCTACTATAATATTTTTTAGCTATTCAATTCACTTTTCTTCGTGTTTTTTGTTATTAATTATCTAAAGCTTTTTACCTTAAACATTTGTCTTTCATTGCGTTTGTAGCATTTGTCTTATTTCCTGCCTCAATAACAACAAATACAAGTATATATCTGTGTTCCTATGGAATAGTAGCTTATGTCGCGAAGTTGGCTTTAGTATAATGCGGCATTCGCTTTACTCTTGAAACGACAAGGAATTTTTTGATGAGACTTAATCAGAATATTGACTTGCCAGTATCGGAACTATTTTTACGCGTTTATTACACATTATACAAAAACCAGCCTTTCGACATAATTTACTATTCCATACGAACACCGATATGTATATAATAATTTTTTTAATTAAATAGCGATTTGTAGAGTGACTATATAACAATAACAATTATGCATATAATCATATGTACTTGAAATCGGTAAATATTGTACATGTTTGAACTTGTGCATAACTGTGTTGCAGATAACAATACTTTTGTCATAAAGGGAAAATCATAAAGTTGTATAGCTTCATTTACTTTTACATACTATATTCCACTGTATTCTAACGTATGAAGCTACACAAGTGCACTTGTATCATTTTAGTTATATTACACATCCATGTGAGCATAACAAATGGCTTGCCTGAAAGCAATTAATAAATTCTCTTATGACAAATGGAAAATTTAAATAAAATTATGCAACAAATACAAAAAAAAATAACAAGAAATAATTGGTGGCCAACGCCAAAAATCGCAGGATTTGCTTTCTTAGCTTTTCTTATATAAACCAAAAAAAAAATATAAAAATATTTAGAGCGCGGTTACCCACGTAGCGTAAACGCAGCGTAGCATAGAAGTGCGTAGAAACATATCAAGTTTGCTGTTGATACCGTGAGAGAGAGAGAAGCAACGTCTTGTTAACACGCAGATCCCATAAGATAGACCGCGTCAGCTGACACGTTCTCCGTTTTTACGTCCGTGTGTAACTGCGCTTTTACTTTTAAAACTGACGACTCATTTTTCTCTAATTTACCAATTATAAAGTTTTCTTATTGTTGCTTAAAACTTAATGAATATTTTATTGTCAAGTTCATTCGCTGACTTTGGTTTCGTTTCACTTTGCTGGTATGTACTCTGACTCACTACGCCTGCGTCAAGAAACGTTTAGCCAATTGTCTCCAAAAAAAAATGCTGGTTGATCGCGCGCCATCTATTCATCCAGGCAAATTGTACGTAGAATAGCCTCTACTACCGAGTAGGGATCACAGTTGGAGCTGGGACGACGATCCTCGAAATAACCCTTGCCGTCATCATTCACACCACGCGGTATGCGAATGGAGCAGCCACGATTGGCAACGCCGGCACTGAAATCATTGATTGAGCTGGTCTCATGTTGACCTGTCAGACGACGCGCATTATCCTGACCCTGTTTCGGATCGTAGGCGCGAATGTGACGTTCATGGTGCTTGGAGAGTTTTTCAACTGCAGCAAGAATATCTCTGCGGATGACAAAGTATAAAAACTTATAATCTCCCGCTTTGTAGTTCTTTTTCTGTTCAAAACTTACTTAATACCGCCATCCTCGCGCATGCGCTTTGTAGAAACATTGGTATGTGCGCCTGCGCCATTCCAATCACCAGGCATGGGTTTGGGGTCCAAAGTGGCAACAATCTATAGGACAAACCACAAAAAGGTTATTGTTATTGCTTTCAGTTCTATATTATATGTAGTCTCATTTTACTTACACCAAACTCCTCAGAAATACGATGCAAAAGGAAGCGCGACATCCACAAATCATCACCGACTGAAATGCCCAAACAGGGACCCACCTGATATTCCCATTGTGCCGGCATTACTTCAGCATTTGTTCCAGACACTTTGATGCCCGCATACAAACAGGCGCGATAGTGTGCGTCGACAACATCACGTGCATAGACCTGTTAATATGTGCGAGTGTTTTTTGTAAGGTTCCCCTTTTTATTTTTAAACCCAGTTCGTATTTAGTTTAATTGCACATACCTTATTAGCGCCCACGCCGCAATAGTAGGGTCCTTGTGGTCCTGGGAAGCCATTCTTGGGCCAACCCAATGGATGTCCATCGAAATCGAGGAATGTATATTCTTGCTCAATACCAAACCATGGCTCTTCATTCTTGCATTTATTCACGACTTCCAGACAAGTCTTGCGATGATTGGAAGCAGTGGGTTCGCCATCGAAGCGATAGGTGTCGCACATTACCAAAATACTGTTACCGCGTCGGAAAGGATCCTTGTAAATGGCCACCGGATATAGATAGGTGTCCGAATTGGAACCCTCAGCTTGGTAGCAGGAACTGCCATCGTAATTCCAAATCGGTAGTTCTGAAACAACAAGAAAAGGGTGCACGATTAATAAATTACGCACTTCAGAAAAGCATAGCTAAAAATTATTTATTTGAATTAAAATATTGACGAGTAATGCAGATAAAAAAAATTTCTTTCATGGAGAGCTTCTCAAATAAACCAACGGCCGCTCGAAGGCAGCATAAGTTTGTAGATTTCATTTATTTATTGACTTTTGGTTGATCACAGTCCCCACAGTCCTTCGAAGTTACATGAAGGCTATCACTTCAAAAGTGCGATTCAAGCATGATTAGACTGCAGCTGGGTAGCTTAAGAGAAAGTGTTGTGATGATTTCACCTTATCTTCCATTAAGCAGCTGCGAAAGTGTGGATTGGGCTTTCAGAGATCTTGCGGATCACATATTAAAACTTCGGGATACCTTCGGCCTTGCAGTTGCACATGCCCTGGTTGTCGACCAGCGAACACTGAGCTAACACGAGTTCCATCTGTCCAAGAGTAGTCCACATTTAATCAAAGATACTTCTACTCCCTTTTTTTTTTGGGGGGTTAGACCAACTCGCCTCTCCCGGCCATCCCATCCGTAACACCGTTTCCTGCAATGTCACTATGACCAGGTACCTATTTAAGTCTGATTATGAAATATTAATATGCAACTGAAAGAGAGTTCAGGTATTCCCATTCGTGCTTTGAGTGCAGCTTGAGGGAACCGAATCGACTTCTTTCTTAAAAGCAGCTACCTCAATTCGGAAAATACAGCGATCAGGAAGGCTAATTTCGAGGCTGCTGGAGAGTTGCCTGCAAAAGACCGTTCTACTGATTCTTCCGTCAATGTAGAAGCGTAGAAACTCACCGGTCCATCCTTCGAACTCCAGCCTTCCTAATCCCTAGAGGGCATGTGAGTAAAGAAAGAGCTATAGGCCACACGCTAATCCGGTGACGTCGGAGATTTTGGGGAATGCTCACCGGCGGTATTTTTGCTCAGTTTCAGTATAATTACAAGCGCACTATATTTAGGGCTACACAGCTTGTAGGTTAAGAGGGCCTAGTTAAATAGGCGTGCGACCTCTCCATTTCCTTGAAGAATCGACTGAGTTATTATTTGCACAGAACCCTTTATTCGTATAACATTATATGTACATACAGATCCCCGCAAGATAAATGCGACTATTTATGTTGAGTTACTATGTTCAGCATCCTTGTTAGCTGTTATAAATTTTACGTAGTGGAGGATAATACCACCAAAAAAGTCAGCCTGGGCTATGATCGCAATTGAAAAGCATAGCCCTCTCTTGACGAACAATAATCCAGCTCTACAAATTTCTGACCGTATTGGGCTAAGTATATGGTGGAGAAACGTGGACGATGTCGAATATCCCATCCTGGGAAGGCTTTCGAGAGAGCTACATATTCGAAGATGTACGAGCTTCGGCACGACTTTGACATAGTTATGCGCATAAAAATACAACGATTGCGCTGGATTGAGTATATCGTGCCTATGGATGATGACGCCCCGGTGAACGGACGGTGGGCGGACAAAGAAAGCAAGGGTGCCTACGCTTACAATGTAAATACCAGTACCAGTGTTTTGGTCTCGATCCAAACCGACAAATGGTTGTGCTGCTAAATAAATGGACGATGATCTACATATATATATGTATGTATGCTTTTTCTCATCGAATTTGTCCTCATGGTCTGACATGTATGTTAGTCCTTAGGACCATCTATTTACTCCTTGCCCCTTATGACGTAAAATAATGTAGAGCCTGGTACTAAGCGGAAGTGAGAGGAACACTCTCTTCTGGAGAGAGTTCACTATAAATACTTTTGTGCTTGCATACATTTTTCTTGATTTCTTTCCTTTATGTGAAAATGACATATTGTGTTAAGCTAGCCCCCAAAAAAAAACAAACAATACAAAAAACCGGCAGAAATTGTCAACAAGGATGCTTTGCAGTAAATAAAATGTGTCCCAGATTTATGTACATATTTGACACAAAGATTAAACTGAAGGTCATTGAGGTTGCCAATATTTATAGCGGAACTATAATGGATATAACTACATATGTATGTAATATGTGGGCATTTGTTTGTTAGCAAAATTCTCCTTAAACAAGCAATTACATGCATGAATTTTAGTATGTATGTAGTATTTCAGAATTTGCTGCCACCCCCACAATAGCCTGGCATCAGCCTAACACCAAAAACAATGCTTGTGAATATGTTTGTTGCATTAATGTGCATAAGTAAATATGTACTACTATACATTGTGCATATTTACGTATGCGGCTTAATTGCATGTGTTGCTATTTGTTGACTTGTTGATTGCATTTTATGAGTACTATTTACATTTGAGCGCAATTAAATCGTCATATACCCGTATGCATTTTGGTTTTTGCGGAATTCTCATTTACCTGCATTTTTTTGCATCTCATCCGATAATTAAGCTAATTTGTTTTGCTTCAAATACAGCATATATACATACATATCGCACACCGTTTTCAAAAGAGTCACAACTCAAAATTTGGCATTTTTTAGATTATACGCTAAAAATAAACGCAGAGCTTTTATTTACCTTTCAGCAAAAGCTGGAGCAAATTTTTGTTATAATTTGTTAAAAAAAAAAAACCTAAGGTAAAGTCGCCCTTGCCCATGTGATTATCATGTGCTAAGAAATAGGTTTTTCGCAGTTTCTGACAAACGTATTATTTTGAGTTGTGACTCTTTTGAAGACGGTGTGCGATATGTATAGTATACATACGTAATATGTAGATGCATGCACCCGCTGCTAAAAAGTAGCTGATTGTGTTTTTTTTTAGCAATATGTATTTGTTTAGTCGATTGTGGCATCTGTGTTGTTTTTTGTACACAAATCTGTGTGTCTGTATGTATGTATGTATATTTGATTACGAATGTACTTGCAACTGCTGACCGAGGCGACAATTGTTTAACACCCCTTTGATATATGCGCCGCATAGAATACATACATACATACATTATCGGATTTCATTTGTTTGAGATGAATTTTCTTTTGTAGATGTCTTCCTATTTTTTATTTTTACCCTCTATAAGTGTAGTGTAAACAGCTCTATTTTTACATAAATAAATAAGGGTCAATCCATGGCAAATAGACCATTTTTGATTTGTGCGAAATTATCGCATGTGCCGGTAACCAAATTTTACAGGAAGTGTTTTACCCACTTTTAAACTATTTATATATATATTTTTTTATTTATTTGTTTTTTTTACTACGTACAAAATACGTTTGCATGGCACATACATTTGAGTTGACACATATCAAACCTGCCTAAGTCAACGATAAGACAATCTCGGGAGTCTGTGGTTCTTTCTTTTCTTGCAATCTATTCGAAAGTCGCTTTTACAGTAATTTTTTGGCATAACTTTGGGGTTTTCCATTAAAATATTTTATCAGGTGATGTGTTTGTAGAACAATTTTGGTTCAAAAACTCAATTTCGAAAAAATAGCGCATATGATAATTCCGCAACAACAAAGTGCTATCATAGAATTTGTTTTACTCAGAGCTCAAAGTTTCACAGAAACTATTATAGTTACAAATATGTTTGTGATCTCGTTTTAAAAGTGAATTGGGGCTTTATAAAAATATTTATTAAAAAAAAATACTTATTAATAAAAAATTACTGTATTTTAAATTTAAAAAATGGTGAAAGCAAAAATTTATACACAGTTTAGGTCCATGTTTTTTATACAAAACAATACTTTGAAAAAAATTTTGCAAACACTAAATTTAAATTAAATTAAAATTGTTTTACATAACTTATTTTAGAGTTTGCAAAAAAAAAATCAAAACTTAAAGTTCATATCTTTACAACAAAAAAAAAATACAAAAACGCCTTCTTGAAAATTCGATGATCCTTTAAACTCAGCAAGATATAAAAATTTAGCCTAAAATTTTTGCTTACGATTTGTTTGAATTTCAAAATTTTGTTAAGTTTTAATATTTGGATTTTTTTTTTTAATTTTTTTCTTTATAGCCCTAAATAACACCTTTAAAACGTGACCAGAACTTATAATAGTTTCTGAGATATTCAAAAATTAAACATGACAAAAATAGCGAAAATTGTGAAATTGTGAGCTCTAGATTTTTTTCTTTGACAGAACTTTGTCATCTATATAATAACAGATAAGTTCTGAACAGATTACATTCAAAGCTAAAAATGGTCGATTCCAACCATTAGTCGATCGTACCTCAAAAATTTTTACCACTGGTTTGTAAAAAATTCAAATTTATAGCCCAATTCTGTATCGGTAACAATTTTTTTTTACTGACCAATTTAAACATTTCCATATATTTTTCCGTAATAAAAACTGTGACAAGAATTTGTCAGTGATACAGAATAGAACCGTTAAATAAATAAAGCACGTTTGGCTATTTTTTTAAATATCTCGCCTGCACACTAATGAATTCAGCACCGTTTCAGTGTGCAATACAATTAGCATTTGTTGTTGTCGTGAATTTTATTGCTATTGTTTTACCGCTGCTGCCAACAGTCCCGCTATTGTGTCAAATGCTTCATCCCTCGGATAAATAAAATGACTTGTGACTGCATAAATTGTT